AGAGGGAAAAGGCTGGACCAGGTCTGTGTCAGGCCCACGTCTCCTGCTATAAATATGAGCTGTGTCACGACTGCAGCAGGGCCAATGAGAGACTGCAGTGTGATTACTGTTCCTCTGTACGACCAGGAAATAACCTGTGTTAGGCCTGCACCATTTGGGAAGAATATCCAACTGGAATTTTTAGAGACAAAGCCTTAAAGTTCCCATATTATGCAATTTTTTTGTTCTTTGTTTTAATGTTCTTTCCTCATCACAAACACAATTGGAGTTGTGCTTTGTTTCATTCACACATGATTAACACACAAACATGCTGCAGATTTAGCCTGAGTTTAGGGTTGGGCTGTAATACTTTATTACAGTATACCACGGTATCAAAAAATAGCAACGGTATCAGTTTCATTACCGTCATTAAAAAGAAATCTGCACCACATAAGAACCTATTATAATATTATAATTTATTGATATCTAAATTTGTTTGCTCAGCACAAATGAATGTGTGGTTGTATTTTCAATTTAATGCTTCACAATTTAAAACTAATAGTGTCTATAATGTTTCTTGGGGAGATGACGGTCGATTAGTTTCATTCCATTGTCACGTGACGGTCATAAGGGAGACCAAGACAAGATGGCAATTCTGGCCGCAAGCGAGTTGGTCACAAATAAATACTAGTACTTCTGCAATTTGGAAGCATTTTGGCTTCAGGCGCACATTTCTTTACGTTTTACAGAAATGAAACTTAAAACCACATGGCAAATTTGCATAAATTATAAAGCGCTGATAAAAACAGCTCGCTTCAGTGGAATATGTTTTTTCAGTGGAATATGTTTTTTCTGCGACAGAGGATGTTGCGGCTGACGGCGAATCTGTTCTGTCCGTGTGTCGCGTTGGAGATGGTTCGTGTTTTAACTTTTCAGAGATTATGGGCCTGGTTCCACTGCATGTGTATTTCGCGATTGTAAAACTGCAACTTTTGGACGGGTAACTTTTAGAATGCATGGAAAGTGAATATAAGTCTGCAGGTCATACGCATAGACTGTACAGCGGTGCAGCTTCGTAGTTTACCAAAGTTGTACTAAAACATTTTGGTAATACGGTAATACCGTATACCCCAGTAAAATCCTGAGATGGGGTCACGGTATGAAAATTTGGATACTGCCCAACCCTTCTTCTCTCAAACTAAAAACACTCTGTTCAGCCTTGTGGTAAATAGTACTCCATACACCTTCACTAGAATCATTTGGATCATTTCAGTCCTGGAATTGACAATTTCTACTGAACTAAAAGTAAAATGTAGCTGATAACTTGAAAACTACTTCTTCACAACATCACAACAGAACAGTTAGAGCTTTGGAGATGTAGACAGACTAATAATACAGGGTTACTCAAACATGTGTGAATGAAACATATAGAGACAGAGACCGGCAGAGACACAAGGAGAGACAGACGGACACAGGGAGAGACAGACGGACACAGAGAGAGAGAGAGACAGAAACACAGAGACAGACAGACGGACACATAGAGAGACATACGCAGAGAGAGACGGGGATACAGAGAGAGAGAGAGAGAGAGACACGCAGAGAAAGAGACAGACACAGAGAGAGAGAGATGCAGAGAGAGAGAGAGACAGAGACAGAAACACAGAGAGAGACAGACGGACACAGAGAGAGACAGACACGCAGAGAGAGAGACAGAGAGAGAGAGAGACAGAGAGAGAGAGAGAGAGACAGAGACGGACACAGAGAGAGAGAGAGAGACAGACAGAGACACAGAGAGAGAGAGAGACAGACGGACACAGAGAGAGAGAGAGAGACAGACGGACAGAGAGAGAGAGAGAGAGACAGACGGACACAGAGAGAGAGAGACAGAGAGAGACAGAGAGAGAGAGAGAGACAGACGGACACAGAGAGAGAGAGAGACAGACGGATAGAGACAGAGAGAGAGAGAGACAGACGGACACAGAGAGAGACAGAGACACGCAGAGAAAGACAGAGAGAGAGAGAGACAGACGGTCACAGAGAGAGAGAGAGACAGACGGACACAGAGAGAGAGAGAGACAGACGGACACAGAGAGAGACAGACAGGGAGAGAGACAGAGAGACACATACAAAGAGAGGGAGGCAGATAAAGAGTGACAGAGAGAAGTGACATACACACAGACATAGAGAAGAAACAGACAGACACAGAAAGAGACATACAGACACAGTGACAGACCGAGAGACAAACACAGACAGAGAGAGACACAGAGAAGTGACATCTACACAGACATAGAGAAGAAACAGACAGATGGAGAGAGAGACTGAGACAGACTAACCTCTCGAGACGGTGCTGACAGCATCTGAGAAAATCACTGGACATTTTGTGCACACCATCCTCAGCCATCAGTGTGGAAAGCCAATATTGGAATGAGGCCACAATGTAAACAAGATCTGTGTTGATGGTGTTCTTAATACACCGGGACAACTACACAAGAGCGTTTCATATTTATACCATACCATGCCAACTGTATTATACATAAAGCTCTTTAAATACTTAACAGCTGGCCAAAGTGCAGTACACAAACACGGAATAAGCAAAGACAATCACAGTCAAAGCCACAATACAACTATTCAAAACACAGACACGACGTTGCTCAAGTTCATTAACAACTGATAATATTTTTATAGCTGCTATTTCTTCATGAAGTCTGCACTGAAATGGAGCAGAAGATCATGGTCTGTGTAGTTCCTCCTTTCTGCATTTTTAGCTATTACTGCACCGTAACTATTCATTTAAAGGCCTATTGTGTAACTTTCCGGTGTTATTGCATTGCCCAGAATGTTTCACAGTATGGATGGGCATTTGATCAAATTTTCTTAAACAAACTTTCTATTTTTGATTAATCACTAACATTTTTTAATTAAAAGTGTCATCATTATTATTACTATTACTAATCTGCATAAATAAACTCAACTTTACAACATATAAACCATCACCACTCTAGAGCCACATCAGCCCGTTTGATAATATAATTCAGCTTTGTGCACTTTTATTTACATTTTATAGAAGCGAAACTTAAAACCGCATGCCTAATTTGCGTAAACTATAAGCGCTGAGAAAAACAGCTCTTTCCTTGTGCGCTGATGTGGTTCAGCTTGTGTTGGACTAAAGGACACGACTCAGTGGAATATGAGTGTTCTCTCTGTGACAGAGGGATGTTTATAATGATGATGATGGTGAACCTGTTCTGTGTGTGTGTCGTGTTGGAGATGGTTCATGTTTTCATACATGTGCAGCTTTAGTGCAGCTCTTTATTTAATGGGCACTTTATTTATGTTGGACACTTTATTTATGTCGGTCACTTTATTTATTTTAGGCACTTTATTTCTGTTGGGCACTTTATTTATATTGGGCACTTTATTTATGTTGGCACTTTATTTATTTTAGGCACTTTATTTATTTTAGGCACTTTATTTATGTTGGGCACTTTATTTATATTGGGCACTTTATTTATGTTGGGCACTTTATTTACTTTACTTTCTTCTGTTGTGATGAAAAGACTGAAAAGTGTTTGTGTTTTGGATGCAAACGACTCAACTTTATGTTGCAGTAACCGGAATACTGCGTTTACATGCATCATGACAAAACCGGGATAGTCATAAAACCCGATCATACCGGGGACACTGATGTGCTGTAAACACACTCACTGAGTGGTACAGTGTCTCCAAGGAGCCAGAGCCCAAACATGGGACAACTCCAGTGTTTGTGTCAGACGCAGCCTCATCTTCTTCCTACCTTACACACAGCAACCTACATTTGGTTTGTCGATTCAAAATGAAAGTGATCGACTAAATTCTTGATCAATTATCGATTAGTCAACTAATCATACCCATCCCTAGTTACATCCCTTTTTTTCTGTAATCCGGTCTGATTTGAGCTCCAGAGGGTTGAAGAGTGAACTTGTGTGGTTATTGTATACAGCTCCTGCCTTGTGTCAGTGGCATCAAGTAGTTTCAGTATTGCCATGTACCGTCCTGTATCTCTGTAGCAATATATCGAACTGCAGAATTAGTCATGACAGGCCGATGCAACAGAGAGATAGAGAGAGAGAGACAGAGAGGGAGAGAGAGAGACAGAGAGAGACAGACAGACAGACAGAGAGGGCAACAGACAGAGAGGGCACAGACAGAGACACAGACAGAGACACAGACAGAGACACAGACAGCGACAGACAGACAGACAGACAGACAGAGCGACAGACAGACAGAGCGACAGACAGACAGAGCGACAGACAGACAGAGCGACAGACAGACAGAGCGACAGACCAGACAGAGCGACAACCAGACAGAGCGACAACCAGACAGAGCGACAACCAGACAGAGCGACAACCAGACAGAGCGACAACCAGACAGAGCGACAACCAGACAGACAGACAGACAGACAGACAGACAACAGACAGACAGACAAACAGACAGACAGACAACCAGACAGACAGACAAACAGACAGACAGACAGACAGAGAGACAGAGACACAGACAGAGAGAGATACAGAGACACAGACAGAGAGACAGAGAGAAAGACAGACAGAGACAGACAGATGGAGAGAGACAGAGAGGGAGAGAGACAGACTTCGTTTTAGAGTTTTCATCCATGTTATAATTGTTTCCTCTTGTCATTTACCCTCTCAAAGTTGTATTTAGAGTGATTCATGCACGTCTGAGTAATGTCTGTCCTCCTGTGTTTAAAGGTGCACTGTGGAACTTTTCTGGAGTGGGTGCACAACCCCTCTCCATGGAGATGTTAATGCTTTGGCTTAAATTGTCCAGAGTATGGCATTAAACTGACCTGTCTTGCATTTATTTAGCTACAGGTGTTATTAATGAGAGACACACCCACTGCACGTTAGATAGACATTAGATTGTAATATATTGTACTACAGGCCTCTCCTACTGCTACTATAACTACAACTACAACTACAAATACTACAACAACAACTAACAGTATTTCTTTGTGTGTTTTTCAGAAAAAGTGCTTGTCAGACTAGCAACACTTGGACCTGAGAAGTGGTCATTGTGAGTGTTTGTGTTCACAGATGCAGACGACGCCTGGAGCTGTTACTCATACGTTTTGTGTGTTTGCAGATCTGTACAAAGGTCCACGTCTGCCTCCACATGCAGACCTCAATGAAATGAATAAAGCACCACAGCCTATAACGGGACCCCCCACCACCCCCACCCTGCCCCCTCCCCCGGCCTCTCTCACAGGTAAGACACCGCCACAAACGACACTTAGAATTATTATTCTAATAATAAGTGATTTTATTCATAAAGCAATATCATAATAACAAAAATCAAACAATTGAAATAGTCAAGCTATTCACACATACCGTATTTTCTGCACTATAAGGCGCATTAAATGAAACACAACAGTTAGATAAGTCAGTCAAACTTTACTTAACACGTTCACAATAACTCTCAACTTTGTTCAATTGTAACGTGTAAAAAAATACTGTCTGAGACTCTAAAATGTTCGAGTATTCACAATAACTCATAATAGTTCAAACAGTTGGGCGATTGCGGCGTCCAGCACGCCCACATCCCTCTCGTCATTATCCGAGTCAGTGTGGTTACTGTTCCCTGGCAGTTCAGTGATGATTCTGGTCTTTGTGAAAGCTCGGACCACAGTTGATACTGATCCTTAGCCCAGGAGTTCACGGATCCATTGGCAGATCGTGGCGTAAGTCGCTCGGCGCCGTCTCCCTGGCTTGGCGAATGTGTGTTCGCCTTCGCACTTTAACTCCACAATAGCCTTGAGTTTAAAGTGGGCGTAGTGAGCGTGTCTCTTGACAGGTGCATTTTGATATTAACTCTTTCCCCCATGAAGAGGACATTTGACGACCCCCCCCGTACCCTTAATGATGACTTTTGACACCTCCGCTGTATCACTAAAGACGTGATTTGACGACCTTTAGAAACGGCTTCGGTTTTTCACATTTAAACAGAGACTGCAATAGGTAGGGGTCAGTACAACCCACACTAGACTGACCATTAGGATTCAAGGATATGTTTTCGCAGATTTTTTCCGAAGTTAATCGAAGTAGTGATGGTAGCTTCCGGAAAAAACACAACACGAAACACGTGCAATGGAAAGATCGCGCTGCGGCGCACAGTTTTAGAAATAATGAGGAGCGGACGCATTTTATGGATGAGTTTAGAGAAAGTGACTTTTATAGATTTCAAAGTGATGATGAGGGTGATTATAAAGTGGAAAACAGCGATAGCGACGGACTTACAGAGAGTGAAACTTACTAAGATGATGTATGGAGTCCTGCGATATCCGAACAAACTATCCGGGCTTTATACTCGATTATGAACCAAAATTGCCCTGAAATCACTCATAGAAGTCTGTTTTCTTTTATGCAATTATGCTCTATGGGTAGCCCTAGTAACATATGTATGGGTTGTTCCTAGTAGGCGTCCAGGGGGGAAAGAGTTAAAAGGAATCACGGTATGTATTACTCCTGATGCTCCTGACTACGGGAGCCGGAATGCTGCAAGTGGTGCAGCTTTTTAGTTTACTAAAGTCGTACTAAGACACCCCAATAAATTCATATATAAGGTGCTCTGGATTATAAGGCGCGCACTCGTTTTTTGATTAAATTAAAGGCTTTTAAGTGTGCCCTATAGTGCAGAAAATACAGTAATTTTTTACTTAGTAGTATATGTACCATATTTTTCAATAAGTCTGGGTTTATATACTGTATGTTCTCAGTCTAACTTGAGTTTTAACACAAGAACATGTTTGGTGATCTATGTCTTAATATACGGTGTAATACCACCATGCACAGCAATTATACTGTGTGTAATATATGACAATATGTGAATAGAATAGAATTTGTGTACTGTGGTAAGTATCCATTTTCCGATATCTCTCATCTCTGCCCGAGTGGAACCAGAGCTTAGCTTAAAGGTGCATTGTGTAACTTTTCTAGTGGAGGGTCCGTCAAATATTTTTCTCCATGGTGATGCTATTCCTTTGCCTGGAATGTTTCACAGTATGGTATTTAATCTTTTTATCTTCATGGAGACCAAACCAGACCAAGTTACAGGTCAGATCTGTGGAGAGGCGACCCTGTTTTTTTAGGTATTTTTGAGCTCTAAAACCACCTGTAACAGAATAAATGTAAAGTACAACTGTTTTAACTGTGGAACATTCCAGGCGAGCAATGACATCTCCATAGAAATAAGCAGGTGACGGACCCTCAACCAAAAACTTACAAAGTGCACATTTAAAAATGTCTAATAAAGAATTTAAAAACTGTTTAAGAGTTGTAACATTTTACAGTGATGTGTACTTTTAACATGTACAGATATCTACACATTTTTGGTAATATTTCCCCTTCATCATTTCAACAAAAAATCCAAAACATAAATGGAACAAAACGGAGTGATCACTAGTTGTACATTGTCACTCTCTTTTCTTACATTCTCAACATGAAAGTGGGTCTTTTCAGATTTGTATATTCATCGCACTTTTCCCAACAGGACACAAACTCTCCTCGTTTAAAAGCCTAAACTCTTGTGTGTCTGTTCTCTTCACATGTGCACCGTCCCTGTGTCTCTTCCTCTCCTCCCCGTCCCACCGTCTCCCGCTCTCCTCTCACATCTCTGCCCCGTCTGTTGCAGCCCTCCTTTCCCTCTGGGCAGCCTGCCTCTGTTGTGTTTGCCACCCCTCCTCCAATGAACCCCACTCCACAGCCCCGGCAGGTAACGCCCCACACCGCTCTCACAGTCACTCGCAGCCGCTCGGCCCCCGTCCCATTTCCGTTCGCTCGCCTCCACGACAACTCAATTCCGGAGCTGCCAATCACGTGCGCCGAGAGGGTTGGCTGCGTTCACGTAATTTCACAATATTGTTGAATTGCCGTAGTTTCAGATTGAGCTGGAGGACAGGCTGGAATCCTATGGAGGAATTTGTGGTTTAAAGGTCCTATATTTTGCAAAATTGACTCTCGTGAGCTTTAAACCATGTTACGCACACTGTCATTCACTCATTTCTTCCGTACGTCCAAATCTCCAAAGCTCAAAATACTCTGTTTCTTCTTGTGATGTCATGAAGCGATGGTCTTGTACCTTTTGATAAGTACAGGAGAAATGAGCAATTCCAATGATGAAATGATCCAATTCCAGTAAGGGTGAGTTTTAAAACACATTGGGAGCACTTCCTGCATTACCACATGATATATCACAAGTTGGAAGTGTTTTCTATCAAACTAAATATGCAGGCTTTGTGCGTTAAACGTGTGAATGAAACAAAACACAACTCCATGGCTGTTTGTGATCAGGAAACATTATAACATTGATCAGGAAACGTAATATAGGACCTTTAAACCATAAGATTAATTTGGCAAGTTTGTGGAAAATATTAATTAATATAAATATTTGTGGTTAATGAGTTTCGATGTATTTATTTCACAAACATTGACTCTCCCATAGTTTAGGACACTGCCCTCCATCTCAAGTGACCAAATTCTACTGATGCGTTAAGCTGAACAACTGAGGCGAGTGAACAGACATGGGACCAGGTCTATATTTCACTCTCTACAAAACGTACCTGTTTGTTTTATTAAAGGTGCACTGTGTAACTTTTCAGTTGGGGGTCCGTCACCTGCTTGTTTCTATGGATATGTCTTTGCTCTGCTCTTTGAATGTCCTACAGTATGACGTTAAACAGCTCTACTTTACATCTATTTGTTTACAGGGGGTTTATACGGAATTAATTCAGGAGTCAAATAGTTCAAAGAACACTTTTAAAACATCAAGCAAAAAAGACTGAAAAAAAAATAAGTAACATAAAATACATTTCAATCTAATTATTTGTGTAAAATATCTCGCTTTGCCTCTTTGGAAACGTTTTGCTTTTGTTGCGCATTTTTCAGTTTTGTTTGATGCTGTTTTCTTTGGTTCTGATTCCAGTCTTCTTCTCGTTTGTGCTCCTTGACTTTTTTTCATTAAGCTTTGGCACAAACGTGACAGGGGGGTGGGATTTCAATGGGTGCATTCCTATTGTAATTTTTGACGGACAGCTAAGCTCGGCGCCTGCCCCGGAAGCTGTTGTAAACATTTCCTGCTATAGTTTTGTGGGAATTACTGTGACATGTACAACGAATTTGTCTGGTACTTACACTTTGTTGAATCTGTTTTGTGACAAAGAGCCACTCAAAGTCACTGGCAGAGCCTTCCTCAACTTTCTGTCATTATTCTCCAGTCCACCTATTTTATTTTATTTTACTTTTTTTTTAAATTTGGTATTATGATTTATCATTTTTTACTTGATGATTTAAAAGCATTATTTGAACTATTTGACTCAAAATTGATTCCATAGTTTTATAGCTCAAAAATACCCAGAAAAACAGGCATTCTGACTGTGAGCAGGGTCGCCTCTCCACAGGTCTGACCTGTAACTTCATCTGGTTTGGTTTCCAAGAAGATAGAAAGGTTTAATGTCATACTGTGAAACATTTCAGACAAGCAATAATATCTCCATGGAGAAAAGCTTCTAATGGACCCTCCATCAGAAAATGTACACAATGCAGCTTTAAAATGTCACTTAATCACAAAGCACCTAGAGCAGGCATGTCCTTACTACGGCCCGTGGGCCAAATGCGGCTCAAATTTTTCTTGGCCCTCACTCTTCCAGGTGAATTGGCCCAAATGACCTTGCATCAATTAAATATTAAATTTTCACTGCAAGTTTTTTGAAAATCTACCTTGATAAAGCTAATATTTAATATTTATTGTGTGGTTTTAAGGATCTTAACGTGAATAAAGGACTGATGGTTCATTCTAACGTGTTAAACATGTATATTTTTAAATTATTCGCTATACTGAGCTCCAATCTATGGCCCTCAACCAGCCCTTTGCTTCATCTGTGTTTAGATATGTGGCTCTTAATGAAAAAAGTTTGGACATCACTGACCTAGAGGACAGTGTGGTGCTGAAGCTTCCCTCTTGCTTCATGTTCAGTGTTTGCCTTTGCTTCAGTGACTGCACAGGTTAACAGACTTTTCTGGAGGAGAATATACTGGTTGTGGTTCTACTTTTAGTTTTTCCATCATTATTATATAATTTGCAGTGACATCACGCTAGAGGGGTTTTACATGTATCTCTATTGGCAGAATGTTCACAAATTACCCCGGTGGTCTTCACTATAATAACAAAATAAACCAATATTTCCAGACAATAAAAAACATATATATATATATTTTTTTTTTCTATTCTACTCTTTTTTTTTATCCAATGTAAAAACATGGGGGAAAAAATCATGATCATTTTCAGCGTGTGTGCACAACCTCATGGCAATTTTGTCTTGTGAGATCTTGTGGCACGAAATCTTGTCCCATGCATAAAAGATGTATTTTCATATTTTAACTACAGAAAGTCTTGTTCCATTGGTAAATCATTTTACCAGTGGAACACAGAGTTACACAGTGCACCTTTAAGCCTTGTCCGTTCCGTATTGTACAAAGATCTGTCATGCGCCACTATTGTGATTTGTTGTGGTGTGAAAATCGGACGCTCTCACATCAGAGAAAGGTGCAATGGTTATTTAGGTCTGTGTAGTGGTGCATGTCTGTCCCAGCTGCTCCTGTTTTCAGTAATTAAGCAACTATCTGGCAACACACGAGCACGGAGAGCACAGTCCAAAACACCACGGTTTTCACATCAAAACAGATTTTCAATAAATTAATCCATTAGAGAATTTAAAGGCGTCATGTTATGCTGTTTTCTGCCCTGTCACAATATAATGTTGGCTCTTCAAAAACAGACCTGGAGTTGTGTTTTTTTGCACTCACACATGTTTAACACCCAAACTCTGCATATTCAGGTGTTCCTCTCTCAAACAGAATGCGCTTCCACCTTGTGATGTCATGTGGTGATACCAGAAATGCTCCACTGTGTTTTTATACTCCATGCACCCTCACTCGAATCATTTGGATGATTTCAGATTTAGATAAAAGGTGTTTGTTAACAAAGGCGGATACATCATGTTGGAGATTATGTGGGAATAAAAAGGCTGGGCATATCACGTTTTTTTGGAGTTGCCCAAATTGAATCAATATTGGGAGAAAATTAAACAAAACATTGAGGAAGCATTAGGAACAAAAACATATATGTGGAACATTCTGCTGTTTGCAAACAAGAAAGCAATAACTAAAAAATGTGACAAACTACCGAATTTGGAGGACTGGATTAACATTGTCTAAAACATTTCACAAACGGAAAGACTGACGCAAAGATTGGAATACGACAGGTATGAGGAAAGCTGGAAACCATGGAAAGACTTTATTAACACCCAAAAATAAAAAAATAAAAAACATCAGTGACAATCCCTGTCCACTGCTACTCAAATGTTCAAATATTAGATTTTTCTCATTTTATTATATTATTATAATTTTTTAAAACTTTATTTTCTTCCTTATTCCGTTAAGAATACAAAACATTCTAAAAGTTCTAAAATAGAGAGAGATATGTGAAGTGAAAGAAGGACAAAGGGGGAAAAATGCAAACTTTACATTTGGGATTTGAAACTGTCATCTCTATTGGACAAGTTTGAATTTTAAAAAATATGTTCAGTTAAACTACCACTACATGACATCACAAGGTGGAACAGAGCATTTTAAGAGTTGGAGATGTTGACAGACTAATAATACTCAAACATGTGTGAATGAAACAAAACACAACTCCAAGTAAGTCCATTTTTGATGAGGAAAGAACATTCTAACGGCGTAAAATGGGCCTTTTAAAGTTACAAAAGTTATACTTTTAGTCAGATCAGAACTTTTTGTTTGTGGAGGAAATGATGGTACTTAAAGAAAATTGCAGTCTTGCAGTTTGGTATTTTGTGTGCTTTCACTTTGTGATTTGAATCCAGTTGCAGTTTTCCTTGCAGCTCTAGTATTAGGAAAAGGAATTGGTGTAGTCGCCCATAGTCACTCAAACTAAATACTTTTTTGTTTTTCGTCAATGCTTTGATGGACCTGTCACGATAATTACTACATCAATATATACAGTACAATATTACATACAATACTCAGTTTTTACGGTGTGCACATTTTCTTGTACAGTGGAGATTTTTGGGGTATTTTTTTGTTTTTATTTAAGATTTGAGCTATTAAAGGTCAAATAAGTAACTTCTATAGCACTTTATTGCTTAATTCTGTTATTTTATTTGCTGCAGCTCGTGGCTTTTTGATACTGTCTATTTAAAAACGGGTGCTGGGGCTATCTTGGTTGTAAATTTTCTTGTACCAAAAGCAACAGGGATGTAACAATAACCGAAATATCATGTGATACGGTATCGTCAAAAGTCTCAATAACATCATGGAATTACAAGTGTCTTTAATTAAATTGACAGTTATAATGCAGCAACAGACGGAACTACATAGACCATGATCCTTTGCTCTGTCTCAGCGCTGATTTGACATGTTATTAAGCACTTTTAAATCTTAATTCTTTGGATTATGACAGAAGCAAACAACTGTCGAGGCTTCATATTCACAATTTTGTTACCCTCGACAAAATATTGCAATAAATATTGTATGATAGGCGATAGGTGTTGGGGAGTAACAGATTACATGTACTGGAGTTACGTAATCAGAGTACAAATTATGAGTAACTGTATTCAGTTACAGTTACTGTTTCAATGAGTTGTAATTGGATTACAGTTACTTTGTTGGAATAAATGGATTACACAGCGGTATTTTCCTGTTTTCACATTTTGGGCTAAACCAGGACTAAAACCAGGACTAAACCAGGTCTAAACCAGGTCTAAACCAGGTCTAAACCAGGTCTAAACCAGGACTAAAACGGGATGTAACAGAAAAACAAAATTTCTTATGTGAAGATTTCCTCGTCTTTGCTTCTCTACAGCAAATCAAGTAATCCAAAGTATTCAGATTACGTTACTCACTTTAAGTAACTTAATGGATTCCGTTATAAACTACATTTTGGGGTCTGTAATCTGTAGGGGAATACATTTTAAAAGTCACCTTCCCAACACTGATAGGCGAGATGCGTATCGAGAAAATATCGTATCGAGAGATTTGGATATCGTTACATCCCTAAGAAGCAGTATATTGTGCTTAAAAGTGTGTTATCGTGACAGGCCTGTGCTTTGATTAACTTAACTGGCCCCTGTCGTAAGCGCTAAGTAAAATCAAGGTGAAATTCAGTTGTGTAACTTTTTCGGTGGAGGCTCCGTCAGATGCTTTTCTCTGTGGAAATGTTATTGCTTTGTCTGGAATGTTTCACAATATGGCATTAAAAATCGTTCTATCATCACGCAAACCAAACCAGAGCAAGTTACAGGTCAGATCTGTGGATTAGTAATCAGAATGCCAGTTTTTCTAGGTGTTTTGGAGCTGTAAAAACCACCTGTAATTGAGTAAATGTAAAGTAGAGGTGTTTAATGTCATACCGTGGAATATTCCAGAGCAATAACATATCCATAGAAACAAAACGGTGACAGACGCCTGACCAAAAAGTGACATAATGAGCGCACTTTTTAAGAAGAACCGTGTGTTGTCAGTCAGGTATAATGTGATGTTTGTGCACTTGCTGATATGTGGTGCCGCTCCTCTGCTCTGTCTTTAACCCGTGTGCTGTGTGCCTCTTTCCTCCAGTTCACCCCTGGGCCCCGGCCTTTGCACCAACAGGTACTAACCACGTCCAGTCTGCCAGTGTTCGGGGGAGGGAGGGCAGGGCAGGGGTCAGGGGTCAACAGGTCAACAGGCTGAGGAGATTAGAAAATACACAGAGGCATTGCACTGTAAGGTAGTTTTTTAAAAGTAAGAGCAGAATACCTTGATAATGAATAGAAATATTGAGTTGCCGAAATATTTCCAGCTCTAAAACTCAATTTACAGTCCCATTTTTTATTTTATTTTTATAATTACAAATATTTAACATATTTTAACAAACAATATGGATTTATTTTACTTGAATTCACATTAGATTACAATTTGTCTAGTATGTAAATATTGTTTTGAATGATAAGAAAAAGTAAACAGTAGGGATGCAACGATTTGTTTTTCCCGCAGTTCGTTACGTGTCACAATATCGATTTGATTTCGATACGTTTTAAGACACAAAAACAAATCTCATGTAATTTTTTTCTGCTAATGAGTATAATATAATTAGGGATGTCAAATTATCGCGTTAATTGCGATTAATTAATTAATTAAAAATCTGTTCTTATGTGTTGTTAGGACACAGTCTTGCACTGTGCAGTCCTGCTCCACTCGCTCCCGCAAGGAATTGTAGCCTAATTTTCATTCCTGTTCTCGCCACATCTGCGATAAACCTGCACACGTCTGATCTCTGAAAACATCTCGACACAGACACAGAACAGACTCACCTTCACCATCATCATCCCTCTGTCACAGAGAGAACATCTATATTCCACTGAGTCATGTCCTTTAGTCGCATCAGCACAAGAGTGTTTTTTTTTTTTTTCTTTTCTCCACTTAGTTTATGCAAATGAGCCATGTGGTTTTAAGTTTGGTTTCTGTGAGACTTGCACAAATCTGCATTAAACACATTATAATGTCAAACGGGCTGATGTCAAGTTGAGTTTATTTATGCAGATTAGTAATAGTAATAATAATGATGATACTTCTATAAAAATGTTAATGATAGTATGAATTCAAATGAAAATATCTCAGTTTGAAGGCTTTTCTCAGCAATTTTAGGTGATATTAAAAAAGAGATTAATTAGATTAATTAATTACAGATCATAATTAATCTCTCAGTTTTTTAAATCACTTGACAGCACTAAATATAGTAACACTGTACTGTAAATGTATAGTGTATATGTGAAGTGTTTAGTTCATTTGGTTCAGTGAGTTACAGAATTTTTATTCAGTGAAAATTTGTTTTTTATAATTTATAAAGTAGCCAGTCTACTCTTAATATAGACATCAGACTTTTTCTTGTTGGATGATGATTTGACCCGAGTCTCACTTTGTGCACACACCTCACGCCTGTGTCTGCGCTGTTCTGTCTCCTCCTGCAGAGACAGTACGTAGCTCCTCCCACACTGCCCCCTACAGTCCGTGACACACAGCTCTCTCCCGTCCTCTTTCTGGACACTCAAACTATGTTACATTACACAGAAATGTCTCAACGGACGTTTTTCTTAGTAAAACTTATGAGACAGAGTCTGAGAAACAAAGTGAGTATATCATGAGTCATGTTGCAGGTGCGTGTACGAGTGCGTTTTATTAAAGCTGATGTAAAGCCAAAAGTGATTCTAAAGTATTTAAAAGTTAATATCTTTGTCCTTCCTGGGTCTATCAACATAAAATAAAAATTCCTCTGTTAGAATATTTCAGCTTTAAGTCCCTATGGAGCTGTTTTCTGCTGTATCTGAGGAGGACTCTACCGTAACTGTTTTTCAAAATAAATGACACCACAGAGCGCATGGAGGGACACGTGTATCGAATCGTGAGACCAATATCGAATGATTCTATATTATGTCGCATATCGTTGCATCCCTAATAATAAACAGCCAGATTTAAAAGCTTAAACTGAAATTAATACTGGTATTTTTCGTGTCTAAAATCCAAATGAGTGATTAGTTTGTACCTGTATCACACTTTTATCAAGTGACGGATGAGTATTGCCGTCTCTTCTCGTCTGACGTGTTGAGCAGTGAGGGAGAAAGTGTGTTTTCAGTTGGATTTTTAGAGACTTGGGTTGACTCTAGTTCACTGTAGCCTGTTGTTCTGTGCATGGAGCTTTTTGTAAAGTCGCTGCTTTGCTCTAACTCTGCTGCTCTTGTCTCCCTCCTCCTCCTCCTCCTCCTCCTCCTCTCCCTCTAACCCCTTTTCTTCTCTGCATCCTCTTCCTCCTCTCCCTTCTCTTTTTCCTCTCCCGCCCTTTCCTCCTCTGTATCCGCTTCCTCCTCCTCCTCTCCTTCCTCGTCTCCCTCCTCCCCTTCGCCTCTTTCCTCTCCCTTCTCTTCCTTCTCTCCCTCCCCTCCTTCTCCCTTCTCCTCCTTCTCTTCCTCCTCTGTCTTCTCCCTCCTTTCTCCTCCTCTTCCTATTTCTCTTCCTCCTTTCTCTCCCTGTTTTTCCTTCTCTGCATTCTCTCCCTCCTCTCCCTTCTTTTTCCTCTCCCGCCCTTTCCTCCTCTACATCCTCTTCCTCCTCCTTTCCTTCCTCGTCTCCCTCCTCCCCTTCTCCTCTTTCCTCTCCCTTCTCCTCCTTCTCCTCCTTCTCCCTACTCCTCTTTCTCCTCCCTCCTCCTCCTCTTCCTATGTCTCTTCCTCCTTTCTCTCCCTCTTTTTCCTTCTCTGCATTCTCTCCCTCCTCTCCTTCCTCTTCTCTTTCTCCTCTCTCTCTCCCTACACCTCCTCCCTTTTTTCCTCCTCTTCCTCCTCTCTCCCCTTCCTCCTCCTCTCCCTCCTTCTCTTCCCCTCTATCCTCCTCCTCCACATTCCCCCTCCACTCCTTTCTTGTTCTCCTCCCCCACATCCTCCTCTTCCTCTATCCTCTCTCCTCCCCCTCCTCTTCCACCTCCTCCCCTCTGTCTCTCCTCTCTTTCCTCTTCTCCCTCTTCCCTTCCTTCTCTTTCTCCTTTTCTCCCTCCTCTGCATCCTCTACCACCCCCCTCCCCCTTTTTTCCTTCCTCTTGTCCCCCATCTCCTTCCTTCTCTCTTCTCAATCTTCTCCCTTCACTTTATCTGCCTTCTCCCTCTTCCCCCTCCTCCTACTCCCTCTTTTTCCTCCCTCCTTTCTTCTGCTTCCGTTTGACGCGTCTCTGTGTGTGATTTGTGTTTTTGCGCTGCTCTAAAGGGAAACTTCAGATCACTACAGGTAACTCATTTTATCCTCCTTCACGCCTCAGCGCTCCTCCTCTTTTCTCTCTTTCTCTCTGTCTTTTATCTCCATTCTTTGTCATTCATTGAGTACAGTCCATGCATGTCTTCCTGTATTTGTTTTTTTTTGTTGCCTTGTTGGCTCGGTGTCATTCCTCCAGCTTACGTTGTGGTGAGCTCGTGGTTTCTCAGCAGAATGTCAATGAGGAGTTCTGAATGAACCGGTATTAACTGCTTTATCTGCCCTGGCAGCGGGCAGCGCCAATATGTTTCCAACTGGAGCCCGGCCACTGATTCATGGTCAAATACTCTGAGCTGGTGAGGGCGTTCAAGGGCCAGTATTACACTGTTTGCTCATCTGTGTTATAATGTTTCCTCATCAGACCTGGAGTTGTGTTGGTTTTAATTTTATTCACACATGTTTCAAGGGCCACTAAACACCAAAATCACTTTTTTTCTACTGATTCTCTGTGTAAATGGGTCTAAAATAGAACTCTGTCTCTACCCTGGCCTTATTTCGTTTGTGTTTGTTATAAATCAGATTTGTGGGTCAAAGTCGTGTCTGTAACGGCCTCATTAGGATCAACTACAACCAGGACATTTGAGTTTCCGGGTTGGACTGACAGCGCCAACGAGTCAGATGCAGGTTATTACTTGATGAGGCGGTACGTGAGAAGCCCCTCTCAGCCCCGCCCCGACCTGGCACCACCGGACACCTCCATGTCCCGCCGTGTCTGGAGAAAAGGAAAACAATGTGATCCGAGCATATATGTCCACTCCGTACCGGTCCATGCCATGTTGGATTGTTGTGGTGTTTGTTGGCTGTCAGTCATAGCTCCAGAGCCCGCCCCGCACCCTCCAGGCACCGCCCCACACCCGCTCCCCCTAACCTGCCAGGCGCTGTGTCACACCCGCACCCCCAACCCCCTAGCACAGGCATGTCCAAGCTACGGCCCGTGGGCCAAATGCGGCCCTCAGACAAATTTTCTTGGCCTTCAGGCTTCCAGGTGAATTGGCCCAAATGACCTTGCATCAATTAAATATTAACTTTTTACTGTTTTTTTTTTTTTTTTTTTTTAATCTACCTTGATAAAGGGAATATTTTATGTTTTGTGTTTGGTTTTAAGGATCTTAGCGTGAATAAAGACTGATGGCTCATTCTAACGTGTTAAACATGCACATATTTCAATTATTCACTGTATTGAGCTCCAGTCTACGGCCCTCGATCAGCCCTTTGCTTCATCTGTGTTTAGATATGTGGCCCTTGATGAAAAAAGTTTGGACATCACTGCCCTAGCACCTCCCCACACCCCTCCCCCCAACTCCCCTGAACCTGTCAGGCACCACTCTCACTCTGGAGGATTTTTCTGATTTTGCTTAGGGGATTTTGCTTCGTAAAGCTTTGGGGGTGTGTTTAAAGGCTCTTTAAACATACAAACCCTGCACATTTAAGCTGAGTTCTTCTCTTAAACTGAAAACACTTTTCCACCTTGTGATGCCATGTGATAATACAGGAAGTGCTCCACTGTATTTTTAAACTCCACACACCTTCATTAGAATCATTGGGATGATTTCAGCTCTGGAATTGCCAATCTCAACTGACCAAAAGTTAAAATGTATCTGTTAAGTTGAAAACGACCACTACATGACATCACAATGTGGAACAGAGCATTTAGAGCTTTGGGGATGTAGACAGATTCATAATAAAAGAATTACTCAGATGTGTGAATGAAACAAAACACAACTCCAGGTCTGTTTTCGATGAGGTAACTACATTAGAACATGACTAAAAGCTCAAGAATTTCAAGAGCAGAATACAACGTTCACTCACTGAAACAAATTTAATTGCGTAACAGGAAATAACAAAAAAAAATAATAATAATACTGTGTTTTTACAGTGCTGCATGTTATTTCAGTTATGATTTCCTTAAGTTCAGGATTAGATCTCAGTGTTTTCTACAAGTTACAGGTTGCTGAGACTAAATACAGGTAAAATATAGTTACTTCTGTATATTTCTAATGTCAAGTACAATTTGTTTTACCAGTTTTTTGTTCAGATTAATTTTAGAAGCCACTATAGTCTGTTTTACTTTTTGGAAACACTGAGATCTAACATAATAATACATAATAAAGACTTACTTACGTGTGTATTTTTGTTGAATAAAAATTAATTCCAACAAAGCCACATTTCCATTTGGTTTGTTTTGGCAATACGGAGTTTTAGTTTTCAATTTGAGCACAGAAATATTGTCGTCCTTTTAAACACGATTTCACAATTTTGAATTTTTGGTTTTGAAGGTAAAAAGAAAAAAAACTGTGTTGAATTTTGTAAACTTTTATCTGATATCAGTTTTCTCTTTTCTTGTGTTCTTCTGTTTCTTGGCTGCTCTCCCTCTCTCCCACTGTTCCCATGCTGTCCATTTTCCATCACCTGTTGCTCCTCTCCCTCCCTTCCTCCCTCTTTTTTCTTTTTCTTTTATCCTCTTTTATGTCCCCTTTTTTCCTCACTGTTTCTCGTTTATGCTCACGCTCTCTCTCTCTTTTCTATCTCTCTTCCCTCTCTTCTCTCCCCCACGTTCATCCCTTCCTCTTTCTCCCTCACCCACCCCTCTCCTCTTTTTCTCTTTCTCTCATTCTTTCTTTTTTCTTTCTCTCCCTCTTTCTCTGCTCCTCTTTCTTCATCCCGCTTTCTCCCTCTCTCTGCCTCAACCTTTCTACCTCTCTTTCCTCTTCATTCTTTCCTTTCTCTCCCCCTCTCCTCGCTTTCCCTCTGTCTGTCTTGCTTCTTTTTTTTCTTTTTTATCCTCTTTCTATGTCTTTTTTTGTCATTTTTTTCTTTCTCTCTTCCCCCTCTCTCCCCCACATTCACCTCCTTCCTCTTTTCCCCTCATCCCCTCTCTCTGTCCTTCTGTCTTTTTCTCTCTTTCTCTCTCCCTCATTCTCTTCTTCCTCTGCTCTTCTCTCTCTGTCCCCCTCTTTCCCGCCTCTCTCTCCCACATTCGCCCCCTGTCCCTTTTCTCCCTCATCCCCCCTCTCCTTCTCTTCTTCTCTTGCGTTTTCTGTCACTCTCTTTCTCTCTTTCTCGCACCTGCTCACTCTCCTCTTTTTTCCTCACTTTTTTTTTATCACTTTCTCTCACCTGCGCACTCTCTTTTTTCTCTGTCCCTTTCTCTCCCCCATTCTCTCCTCTTCACCCCCCTCTCTTGCTCTCTCTTTACCTCTCTTTGCTCTCACTCTCTGCCTCACCCTCTCTCTCTCTCCTCCTCCTTATTCTCTCCTCTTCCTCTCTCTTCCTCTCCATCCCCCTCTCTCTTCTTCCTCCTCGTCGTCAGCCCTTTTACCCGAACAGGGCGAGCCTCCCCCCCAGCAGCGGGCCTCGTGGGGTCCCTCCCAGCAGTGGTCCAAGGCCCGTCCCCCCCGCACACGTGTACCCGCCCAGCTCACAGATGATGATGATCCCGAGCCCTTTCACCAGCTCACCACAGGGACCTTACTTCATGCAACCACAGGTAACACCGCACCCTGCTCCTGTCGCTCCTGTCACTCCTGTCACTCTGGACATTTACACCAACACTCCAGTTTCAGTCATGTTTTTCTTTATTTTTATGATTACCGTATTTATCGGACTATAAGGCGCACTTAAAATCCATTTTTGACCAAAAATTAACAACACCTTATGTGTTAATTGTGGTTGTGCTTACTGACCTCCACTGAGTCGTGTCCTTTAGTCCGACAGAAGCTGAACCGCATCAACACAAGGAGTGAGCTGTTTTTTTTCAGTGCTTATAGTTTATGCAAATTAGTCATGTGATTTTAAGTTTTGTTTCTGTAAAATGTAAACAAATGTGTCAAAGCTGCATTAATCACGTTATTACTCAATGTATATTTGAGTTGTCCTCGTAGGAAATAAAAACACAAACTTAAATGATCCACCCACATTCACATTCATAATAAACATTCACCAAGACAGGGAGGCAACACCGGGCGAATTACACCACGATCTGCCAATGGATCGTGATTCCTGGGCTAAAGATCAGACTCAAGTGTCATCCGTTTGTTTCGCTTAATGCTCCTTATAATCCGGTACACCTTATGTATGAAAATAGATGAGAGAATTCAACATTACTGATATTGCTCCTTCTAGTCAGAAAAATACAGTATTCTTTATTTTATTTATTTATTATTATTAGTTTGTACAACCATAAACTGGGTCGACTGAGACCGAGCTTTCTGACACTAGCAACACATTTCGTTCCAAAATACCTTGATAGTTTTGAGATTCCGTTGCACCTTGCACAGATTCAAGACACCCTTTGATAAGCAAAATGAGAATGAAGAATGTAAGGATTTTTTTTTTTTCGTTTATGGTCGTACAAAGTAATGGGTTAACATAAAGAGAACTGTAAACGGCAGTATAGATGATAGGGTTGAACAATTTTAAGAAAAAAATTGAATTGCGTTTTTACTGGCAGAGATTGCGATTTCATCCACAATTTTTTTTCAAATCAAGTTTCAGGGCACATGAACATTTGTAAACATCACAGAAACTTACATCATATCACAGTCCTGTACCAAAGATTTGATGTAAAATCGTCTGCGTCACAACACAGAGTCTGTGTTGACGTGAACCCCCTACAACAGAGCATCTGCGTCGACTGACGTGCACCTCTGAAATGTTCTAACTACACATCGAAACAACGCAGACAATAAGGGCTGTGATTGGTCCTCTCTTCCACCACTCTACATACATTTCCTGTACACCGCTTTCCTTTCTTTCAATATAGTGATAATAATTGAGTAATAATGTGTTTGTTGCAGCTTTGTGCACATTTGTTTACGTTTTACAGAAATTAAACTTAAAAGCACATGGCTAATTTGCATAAACTATAAGCGCTAAAAAAAACAGCTCTCCTCTTCTGTCAGACTAAAGGACATGACTCAATGGAATATGAGTGTTCTTTCTGTGGCAGAGGATGTGCTGCTGTCTGTTCTGTGCTTCTGTTGAGTTGAAGATGGTTCATGTTAAACTTTACACAAACGTCAGGTTTAAATCCTGGCCTCCAAGTGTTGTGGTGATGAATTATTTTGCGGCGCATAGACCTCGACGAAGATCCATAAATCAAAAAAGACGGCCGCAGTGGGTGTTGAGTCAACACAGAATTATACTTGGCCCTTAAATTGGGCTTTAGGAGCACTGCAAAAAAAATACAGCTTTGACGCTGCCAAAATTGTGTTGTCTGAAATCAAGATTTTCGTTTCAAAACTATAGATTGTTCAGCCCTGTACATGAACAGTAAAAATCCAATAACTAGAATAATCTGATACTCCAGTAAGATGCATTCTTTCTTCATGTGTTTACACTACATACTGTATCTGTAATAGTATACATGTATTTTCACTCATCTGATCAGAGCTTTGTGTCCATGCAAACACAGCCAGTGCCAGAAACACACAAAGCAGTCCTTTAGTCTCTCATTCACACACTTACAAATCCATCCAACGGAAGAAAAGTGCTTTTTTTAGACATCTCCTCATGTATTGTGTAATGGCTCAGTTTATTAATTAACTAAAATGGAAATTGGAAAAATAAAACCTACTTTTACTACACTGCAAATTTCTTTGATCTGGACAAGATTTTAAAACTTCTATCAGGTTATTCATCTTGTTTTATAAAAATAAACATTACTATTAATAAGGTAAGAATGGAAAACATTTAGCCTTAGCTCCAATACTAACTTAAGAATTGATACTAGTAATCAACTAAAGGTTTAACACACTCACCTGACAGCGAGAAGGTTCCAGGTTTGATTCCCGGGCCACCCTTGCATTCATGTGCAGAGGTTGCACATTTCAGCTCCAATTTAGGAATTGCTACGTAAGCTATTTGTTCCACCTAATTAATTCTCTGTTCTCTATTAATCTAAATGTCTACTGCCTCTCCCAGGCACTCCAATTTCCCTGTCAAATGCAAGGGAACATGTTTCTATATGGAGACACTAAAATATACCTAACTTTTTAGTTTGTATCTTAAATTTTGGCCAAGCTTTTTTACAGTGTATAAACAGTCACTTTTACTTTCTTGTATTTTAGGAGAAACATCTTAGTATATTATCAGTAATCTATTATCTAACAATATTCTGGCCCATTGTTGGACCAAGGATGGTTTCAAACATCCACCACTAACAAGGATAAGAAATATTATGAGTGACCTGGAAATATCCTGGAAATAAAGTTTCTTATCTAAATATGTTACACAAACTTCAGCTGAACAAACAACAGACAGATGTTCTTGGCATTAATGTTGGACCAGCTCCAGCCCCCGACAGAGCTCACATCTACTCCATGTGATTCTTTGTCACAAGATAATGATGACATTCTTTCTTATTAAAGGGCCTATATTAGGCAAAATTGACTCTTATGAACTTTAAGACATGTTATTATGTTGTTACCTCATCAGAAACACACCCGCAGTTGTGTTTTATTTCATTCACACGTTTGAGTAATTATTGGTTTGTTGTTATTAATCTGTCTACATCTCCGAAGCAACTACCTTTTATCTTTAATTTAGCAGAGGTTGGAAATCCCAGGGCTGAAATGATCCAAATGATTCTAGTGAACATCTGTGGAGTTTACAAACACAGTGGAGCACTACCAGTATTACCACATGACATCACAAGGTGCATCCTAGTGTTCTCTGTTTCATAGGTGATCAGAATCAGCAGGGTTTGTGCGTTAAACGTGTGAATGAAAAAAAACACAACTCCATGTGGGTTTTTGATGAGGAAACTAGAAATTAGAAAACAAATCAAACAAAAACAAATTTAAATGACATTACTTTAGACTCATTGTTATATCGGATTGTGCTTTTTAATCACTTACAGCTTTCTCCTTACATTTTGATTGCATTCTTTAATTTCAGACTTGACTTTTCCTTTTTGCCCAGTCTTTATAAATATAGAAATCTGGTCAGGACTATTTGTACAATGGGCAGATGGCCGTACAAGTCGAAAGAACATTACAACAATAATTCATGAAGATCTCTGTTATTGTTTGGAAAAATATAACGCGTTTAATGTTTAATTTCTCATTTGTTTGCAGTACCGACCGGCGGGTTACATCGCCACAGCGCAGCAATACCCAGGACCAGCGGGCACAGCGGGCTTCTACCCTGGCACCAGTCCAGCGGAATACAACAACTTTGGTAAGAAGGGCTTATAGTAGGCAGACAGAGAAACGACTTTCACATGTGATCTGGTATAGTCCTGGTTTGGGCCGACTCTAGTCCTGATATAGACTTGGTTTAGTCCAAGTTTACTCTTAGTTTAAGCCTGGTACTTGGTTTGGTCCTGGTTTAGATATGATACTTCATTTGGTCCTTGTTTAGTCCTGATTTAGTCCTGGTTTAGTCCTGGTTTAGTCCTGGTTTAGCTTTGGTTTGGTCCTGATTTGGTCCTGATTTAGTCCTGATTGTTGGTTTGGTCTGGGTTGGTCCTGGTTTAGCCCAGGTTTAGTCCTCGTTTAATCCTGGTACTTGGTTTGGTTCTGGTTTAGACTTGATACTTGATTTGTTTTTTTTCCTTGCTTAACCCTGGTTAATTCCTGGTTTAGTCCTAGTTTAGTCCTGATTGTTGGTTTAATCCTAGTTTAGTCCTGATTAGGGATGGGCATTCGATGAAATTTTCTTAATCGATCGTCGGAAGAATTAACGATCGATTATCGATTAATCATTAACATTTTTATATTAAAATGATCATCATTATTATTACTATCTGCACTACTAATCTGCATAAATAAATTCAACTTTATGACATATAAACTATAATGACTCTAGAGCCACATCAGCTGTTTGACATTATAATTTGTTTAATTCAGTTTTGCGCAACTCTCACAGAAACAAAACTTAAAACCACATCGCTAATTTGCAAAAACTAAGCGAAGATAAAACTACAGTTCTTGTGCGCTGATGCGGTCAACTTCTGTTGGATTAAAAGACATGATTCAGTGGAATACAGGTTAGTGTGACCAGATTTGCATTTGTCAAAACCAGGACAGTGTACGGGGGGAGGGAGGTGGGGACTCGACATCGACATTGAGTGACTCTCACCTGGCAAAACTTTTTCCCACTAGACATCAAAACATATGTGCTGCTTTGTACACTGTGCACATGGACTCACACTTGTCCCGAACGCAACGGAAAGCGTGGAATTTCTTGTACAAATCATCTTTAAATACGCATTTGCGTTGCAGACTGACCGACTGTTTGTGTCTCGCTCCTTCTGAGTGCAGAGAGACACATGTACGGACCTCTGTTTGGTCACACCGCACACCAACCTACATTCGGTTTGTCGATTAAAATGAACGTAATTGATGAAATTCTTAATGATCAATTATCGATTAATCAATTAATAATGCCCATCCCTAGTCCTGATTGTTGTTTTATTCCTAGTTTAGTTCTGATTGTTGGTTTAGTCCTAGTTTAGAACAGTGTTTTCATCATGCATAAAAATGAATATCATCAATGTTTGGCTATTGCCTCGGCTACTGCGAGAACAGCCGGTGTAGCCTGCCGACTCACACATCGAGGAATTGAATCTGTACAACAGCTGCCGGGAGGTCTTAATGTAGTGGACGGCCATTCATTCATTTGTGCAGAGACTGGACAGGAGTGAAAGTCCCATACGGTTCTTCGTGTGGTTGTGTATCGCATTGATTGGTGTGAAAACAAAAAGTGCCCAAACATGTTGAAAATAGCCCAAATATTACCGACCCACCTAAGGCTTCCCCTCCCCTCCTGATGTACCGGTAGTCAAAGAAGCCCAATTGTGCTGGCACCCGCCCAATCTGGCAACACTGGCTCCGAGCTTGAGCGTCTTTTTACAGGCCTCACTTTTGTTTTAATCTATGCACTGTTGTAGAAAGTGACTAAGTAGAAAAGTACAAATGCTTACATCAGCACTACTTATCCTCAAGGCCATTATACATTTAACTAATACTTTAGTCCTTAAAATCGAATTTATTCTTGCAGATTTTCTTTAAAAATAACCTTTTAGAACAAACCTTCCCACTAGTATCAGTATCGGCAAGTACACCAAGGCCAAGAATCGGCATCGGATCACATCCCAAATAAATGGTATCAGAACAGCACTAGTTTACATGTCCAACCAGTAGGGACAGGACAAGATCTCACGAGACAAAATTGCCACAAGATCGTGCACACATGAGGAAAATGATCTTGTGAGATTTATTTTCCATGGTTTTACATTTGGACTGGATAAAGTTAAGTACTGGAGTTATATTTTTTTGAGAAGCTGTAGTCCCAAAAAGCAGTGCTATAAAGACAGTAAGTAAATCAAAAATAGTGAGGCCAAAACAAAAAATCTTGTCTTCTTTGTCCTAGTACATTCTTAGTACCTTCGTAGTTTAGTCCTGATTTAGTCCTAATTTAGTCCTAGTTTAGTCCTGATACTTGATTTGGTACTTCATTTGATTCTTGCTTAGTCCTGCTTTAGTCCTGGTTTAGTCCTGATAGTTGGTTTGGTCCAGTCTTTGGTCCTGCTTTAGTCCTGGGTTAGTCCTGATACTTGATTTGGTTTGGTTTGGTCTTGGTTCGGTCTTGGCTCGGTCTTGGCTTTGTCTTGGCTTGGTTCTAGTTTAGTCCTGATAGTTGATTTAGTACTTGATTTGGTCCTTGTTTAGTCCTTGTTTAGTTCTGGTTTAGTCCTGCTTTAGTCCTGGGTTAATCCTGATACTTGATTTGGTCCTGGTCTAGTCCTGGTCTATTCCTGATACTTGATTTGGTCCTTGTTTAGTCCTGGTCCTAATTTAGTCCTAGTTTAATCCTGATACTTGATTTTAGTAATTATTTTGTTTTGTCTGTTTAGTCTTGGTTTAGGCCTTGTTTTAGTCCAAGTTTAGTCCTGGTTTAGTCCAGGTCTAGTCCTGATACTTGATTTGGTCCTTGTTTAGTCCTTGTTTAATTTTGGTTTAGTCATGGTTTAGTCCTGACACTTGATTATGTCTTGGTCTTGTCCTGGTTTAGTCCTGATACTTGATTTGGTCCTTGTTTAGTCCTGGTTTAGTCCTGCCATTGACATAGTGGATATAGTAATTATCATAACAGTCCTGGAGTATATATTGTTTGTGTTATTTCATGTTTTTTTGCTCTCAGGAAGTGTCTCTTGTTACACGTGGTCTTAGCTCTTCCATGTTCCTCGCACCGACGCCACATGTGGCTTTCCCCGTATGCTGCCACGCCCTCTAGAGGCGGCTGCGCGTCAATGCGTCGAAGGGAGCTCTGAAATCAAACCTGCTGAACCCGGCGTTTGGCATTTGAGCTATGCACCGTCTTTGTTTGAACTGCAGCGCTAACAGCAGGACCCCAGGCCTCAGCGCAGACCTGCTCAAACTCTGTCCACTGAGACAAGCTTCAGACAGTCGAGAGATTTATTTATTTTTTACTCAAAAGAAATAAAACCAAATCTGATCATAAAAATATACTGATAACTCATTTCTTATGTAGTGCCACGAGATAAACCACAATGCTAAAACGTGTATCAGTAACTTGTAACTTCTAATTTAAAGGAGCATTGTGTAACTTTTCCAGGTGGGGTGTCCGTCAAATGCTTTTCTCTTCATGCTTCATGCCTGGAATGTTCTGTGGTATGACATTAAACACATCTATCTAGCATTTATTCATTACAGGTGTTTCTGTTGCTCAGAAATACACAGTGGTAGAAAGTGAAAAAGTAGAACAGGACAAATACTTACATCAGCACTACTTATTGTCAAGACCATTATACGTTTAACTAATACTTTAGCCATTAAAATCGAATTTATTCTTACAGATTTTATTTTAAAATAACCTTTTAGAACAAAACTAGTATCTAGTATCGGCAAGTACACCAAGTATCGGCATCGGATCACATCCCAAATAAATGGTATCAGAACAGCACTAGTTTACAGGCGAGTTTCATTGTTGACAAAAGCGCGCGTTGCATGCTGGGAATTATTTTGGTCAGCGGCAAGAAACACTAATTCAACATGACGGACGGAGCAAGAAAGCACGTAAAGGGTATTGATCCCGGATATTTATCCACTCTAACGGCAGAGGACCCAAGACCATTTGACCAGAAATTGGTCATGAGCATCGACGGACGACAAATCACCCTTTTCAGCCCCTACAAAAGGTGGACCAAACCAAATTTCTGGTCAGAATCGCCAACTACCTGGACAAATATTCACTTGGGCGATATCCACAATGACTTGGTGGAAACTCCTGGGCCATTCACAGCAGAAAAGATGAAAACCTCCAAGAGTCTCCATGTGTTGTTGAACTTGTTGGAGTCCACGGTTTGTTAGGATCTTCTACGTTTGCTCTGCGAATGTTTGAAAGTCGTTTAATTCACCGTTAGTGGTTCTTTTCACTCGGAATTCTTCCGTGCTTCTATTTGTGCATCCGATAATGCAGCAGGAATTTACCATTATCGGGGATAAATATGCGAGGTTACGCACTGTGTTTGACCGCTACCGTGTTTCTTGCCTCCGAACAAAATATTTCCCAGCATGCAACGCGGGCTTTTAATAACAATGACGTCAGCTGAAACTCGCCTATATGTCCAACCAGTAGGGACAGGACAAGATCTCATGAGACAAAATTGCCACAAGATCATGCACACATGAGAAAAATGATCTTGTGAGATTTATTTTCCATACAAAAATACAATAATTCCGTTGCCTCTCTGCAGATCTGACCTGTAATGTAGCTTACAGTTGTATCCCTTGAGATAGATAGGTTTAATCTCTACCGTGGAACATTCTAGAGAAAGCAATAACCTGAAGCATGAAGACAAGCAGGTGGCGGACCGTCCACCAGAAAAGTTGTGCAGTGTACCTTCAAGTAGACTCCAACAACTTTGAATACTGTAAGAACTCAGAATTAGATTAAAAGTATATACCTTGTTAGTGAGTGTAAGTGTTAAAATTGACTTTCAAATAATCAATTTTAACATTTTCTCAGGGTTTATATGAGTCCAGTCTGTTCTAGGGTTAATTTAACATTTTTGGAAATGTTAATTAAGTAACACTGGACCAAAGTTCCTGTTTAACCCTGAAATCAAGAGTTATATTAACGTTTTGAGAGTAAATGGATAACACTTTGTAGGGTTATCCTGATTTAGCTAAACAACACACAGAGGTCTTTTA